CTTCATGGCTGAGCTATAATTCCATTTTTAAAAGACTAGGCTTTACCCAGTGGGAGGTGCTATTCATTGTTCACGTTGCTAGTGCTTCACCAAGGTCTGGCTAAGTGCCTCCTGCTTGGCAAGGCTTGCTTGAGGATCAGAGAGCAAGAAGCAGGCAAGGGACCATGGTTAGAATCTGAAATATGTGTTACATTTTCCAGGTTAGGGTGGAGTGTTAACTTGATTGGCTTTGGGATCTGCCAGGGGGGTTGGGGAAACACACTTCTGGGTGTGTCTGGGTTGGTCATTGAAGATGTAGCCTTAGGGTCTATGTCTGGATCTTTCCCTTTTCTTTCCTGGCAGTCTTCCTATGCTGTGTTTCCTGGATATCATGAACTAAGCAGTTTTGCTCTATGTTGTGTTTCTGCCGTGATGTTCCTGCCTGGGAGCCTGCCAACCATGAACTGAATCCCCTGAAACCATGAGCTAAATTAAACTTCATCTCCTTTGAATTGTGGATGTTGGGTATTGTAGTTTTCCCAACAAGGGGAAAACTAATACACCTTCTTAGTTATAGATGGCTGTCTTTATTAGCTTTCTGCTACTGTAACAAAATACCCAAGATAATCACCTTATAAAAAGGAAAGGTTTATTTTGGCTCACAGTAGTAGGAAGTGCATGCTATAGGAAGTTGCTCACCTCATGACTGCCAGAAAGTGAAACAAAAGAAGAGGAGGGGCCAGGATCCCAGCATCTCTTTCAGGAGAATGCACCTAGTGGCCTGAAGACCTCCTAGTAGGCTCTTAATGTTTCTACCACTTTCTAATGTCTGGAAACAAATCTTTTAACATATGAACCTTTGGAGGATAATTAAGATCCAAATGTTAGCACTGTCTATCTGAAGATAGAACTGTCTATCTTCAGGAAGCTGTTGCTTCCTCCTGATCTAGAAGCAATCTCAAGTCTAATCCTATGTGTTTCAATGATAAGCACTGATTCAGTGATAAGCACTTGGTGAACACTGTGTTATTTAATTGTCCTAGTGGCAGTGTGAAGTTAGTGTAATCATTCCCACTTTATAGCTGAGATCAAAACTCATTGAGATAATCTGCACAAGATCACAAAACTTTTCAAGGGTAGGGAGACCATAACTGGAACTCAGGTCTTCAAGGATTAATGAACGCAACACAGAGTAACAGAAAGAGAAAAAGCTTTGGTGTCAGATACCCAAGCTCAGCTGTTGGCTCTCTTGTGCCTGCAGGACCCCATAAAACTTTCTTAAGCTTTTTCAGCTCCATTTTCTTCACCTGTCCAATGAAGAGAAATGTTCTGCAGAAGTGTTCTGGGAAGGAAATGGATTAGTGTATATAAAATGCCTGTCACAGAGCATCAAGAAAGGTCAGATTCACCACTGTCCCCTCCATCACTGGGCTCAGTCATCTTCCCACTATATCATTCTGCTCCCTGCTTAAGAGAGGAAATCAGCCAGGAATGCAAAGATCTAAGATGCAAGACACAAGGCACTGTACCATACAAACACATGAGCTACGCTAGAATGACCAAGCAGCCGTTCAGGAAACAGCAATATTAAATTTGGCCCTGATAGCACTGTCTGTTTGCAAGAGGAGAAAAACAGATGGCAGAAGCTCAAGATTTCTCATCTGGTAACTAGATAGGGCACAGAGGGTTGGTGGAGGTACAGGTATAGATTAAAGAGCTACTGGGTGTGAAGTAGGAGTTTTCAGGCTGTGCTTGTAAGCTATGTCATAGGCCAGGCCTGGGCCACCATTCTTAGCTTCACAATGCAGACTCAAGAAGGCTAGACCCAGCCCTCCCCGACCTGAATTCTGTGGCCTCTGATGACCACTGTGTCCCCAGGTGGAAGGACTAACATATTGGTATCCTTTAGTAAGCACTTCTTTATTTTATTTTATGATTTTAAAGAGAAAAGAGCAAAAACAAAATAACAAAAACAAAGACAAAATCAAAACAACGCAAAGACTATAAAAATGATACAGAATTTCAAAACAAGATGATAGGAAATCAACAATGGTTATTGTATTACTTATTGTTATCTTCAAAGTAGCTGTTCAGATTACCAGATATAGGTATGTAAGATTGATCAAACAATTAAACATTAGCTGTTTGTATCAATAAACCAATAGAAATTAGTAATACAGTTATCTTAGCTATCTTGTATGTGTGTGTACATATATATATATATATATACACATATATATTTCCCTTCTTTCTTTCTTTTGTTCTTTCTCTCATCTCAGTTGTTCTTTCCTATTAAGCAGTTTCTTTCTGTTTCACAATATCTATTATACCTTTCAGATTTTATTTACTCTTTCAGGTTCTTAAACTAGGGAGACAATACAGTGTTTACACACATGGGTCTGATTTATTTCACTTATCAGTATAATCTCTAGTTGCAGCCATTTACCTATAAAAGTCTTGAGTTTATTTTTCTTTATAGCTAAGTAATATTCCATTGTATAAAAATACCACATTTTTCTTATCCATTCCTCAGTTGACGGGCATTTGGGTTGTTTCCAAAATTTTGCAATGAGGAATTGTGCTGCTATAAATGTGGGTATATGTATATCACTGTCATATGATATTTTTAATTCTTCTGGGAAAATACTCAGAAGGGGAATGGCTGGGTTAAATGGGACCTCTAATCCTAATTTTTTGAGGGATCTCCAGACTGATTTCCAAAGTGATTGCACCGGTCTACATTGCCACCAACAGTGGAGAAGTGTTCCTTTATCCTCACAACCCCTCCAGCATTTACTGTTGGTTGATTTCTTTCTTTCTTTCTTTCTTTCTTTCTTTCTTTCTTTCTTTCTTTCTTTCTTTTTTTCTTTCTTGTTTTGGTTGATTTCTTGATGGTAGCCATTCCTTTTGTGGTGAGATGGAATCTCAGTGTTGTATTAATTTGCATCTCTCAAATGACCAATGATGTTGAACATTTTTTCATGTATTCATTTGCCATTTATATTTCTTCATCTGAGAAGTGTGTATTCATCTCAGATGCCCATTTTTAGATTGGGTCTTTGAATTTGAGGGGGGGTCTGATTTTTTTTTCAATTCTTTATATGTTCTAGATATAAGTCCTTTGTCTGAGGGACAGTTAGCTAAAATGTTTTCCTGCTCTGTGGCTTGTCTTTTCACTCTATTGATTTATTTTCAAGTACAAGAGCTTTTTAATAGGATAAGATACCAGTTGTTGATTCTTTGAAGTGTTTCCTGTGCGGTTTGGGTTTTGTTCATGGAGACTGTGCTTACCCCTATGTTTTTAAGATTTCTACCTACTTTCTTTTCCAGTAGATTTAGTGTTTTTGCTTTAATATTTAAATCTTTAATCCATCTTTCTGACTTTAGTGCATGGTGATAGACATGGGTCTAGTTTTAGTCTTCGGCATGGAGAGAGCAAGTTTTTCCAGCACCATTTATTAAAGAGGCTATCTTTCTTCCAGTGAACATGTTTGGCCTCTTTCTTAAAGATAAGATGGCTGAGTGTGTTTGTAGTTATGTTGCCTCTTCCAATCTATTCCACTGGTCCTCTTGTCTATTTTTTTGCCATCTACTACTTCTTTATAAGGAATGGTTGGATGTGCTGGGGAGCCTTTGGGGAAACCTCTTTCTGCCCCACAGAAAAGTTGGCATGAGAGAAAAAGCCCCAATATTTTCCTTCAGTGTCTCAGAGCAGCTGGGATTCTATTTTTAACCATCCCTGTCTTCGGCTGACAGCTTGGAATGCCTTTTCCATCCTTTTCTTCCTTTCTCCTGCCTCTTGCATCCCCAAGCCCCATAGAACTGATGGATGAGAGGAACCTCAGAGCACCTGCTCTCCTTCCTCACTGTTCTTTACTCCATTTAGCTCCCAGGGTCTTTAGTGGGTGGGTTTTGGAAGCATGTTGGCTGTGAAGCTAATGAGGCTTAAATTTCAGTGCTTCTCACTTGCACCAGCCCTTTCAAAGTCCCTGGTTGGGCTCCTAAGGATTTTGTATCTGTTCATTTCATTTTCTTTTTCGTCAAAGAAGACACACATAACTTGGTCCTGTCCTCCCATGGGTGTGACTTTCTCCCCATCTCTAGCTCAGTGTCTATGTCAATACAGTTATTCCTATCTCTCTCTAATGTACTGTATGGCCTAGGGCAGCTTTCTTTCCTGTTCCAGGTCTTAGTTTTCCCTATCCATTACAGATAAAGTATCCTTTCCCCACGCTATGCCTCTGATTATCCAAGTACATACTTCTTAGGTCACCTATTCCTGTTTTTGTCTGTCACTGTGCCTGTGGAGAGGCGATATTGTTGTTCTCTGCCTCTCTCTGGGGCTAAATGAGCCTTATCTTCTAGTGGGAGGCTGGGCTCTCAAACTTCTGCTCAGGCCCTGCCCCCTCATCTCTATTCCATTGCCCCCAGTTCTCTTTATTTTTTAGATAAGTAAGGTGAGTTCATTTGGCAGAATGTTGGCCAGGTTCTGATACTGGAGGAGAACAAGTGTGTAATAAAAAAGTCCTACTCTGTCTGTAATTCAGTAAGCCTCCTTATTACTATGTTATCCTTCTTTTACTCTTTAAAATAATAAAAAAAAGTCCTACTCTTTAATTAACTTCTATATACTTGTCATCATCTGATCACTGGTGTTTCCAACACATATCAAAGAATCTGCATCTTATTTTCCAGTGCTTTCTTTCTTATCAAAAATTAGTAAGCATCTATTAATATAGTACCTTAACAATGGCACCATATGGGAGAATGTGTGCGGTGATCGTGATGTTCATAGATACCCCACCTCCCAGCCCTACTCCCAGCTCCTGTGCCACTGGAACACAGGCAGGCAGGCCCAGGATGCCAGTCACGAGAGAACACACCAGCCCCATCTAGCATCACACATGCGCTTTTTGGTAGAAGCAGTACACAGGAGTGGGCAGCTATGGGAGGGACCTGACAGGGAAGACTTACAAAATCCCACATATTTTCGCCTGCCCCAAGAAAGTCCTGAAAGGAAGTCAAGAAGGAGGCCAAGTCATTTATTGTTTCTCAAACAGGTTGGGGGAAAATGACGGGGCAGGGCTGCAGTCCTTAACTGGAAAGTGATGAAGAGACTTTTCAGTCCTAAAGAGCCTGTTGGTATCTTCAGTGCTGGTTGGGGAAGTGCCTTGTGAGGTCAAACCGAGGACAGCCTGGAACAACCCAAATCAGTCCTGTGCCAGGGTCTGTCGCCCCTGGAGAATCAGTGCGGTTAATGTATACGGGCATGAGGGACAGGTCAGCTGTCAGAGTCCCCAGGGTGTAGGGATGGTCTGCTGCTGGGGATGCTTTGTCTGCCTGTCAAGATCAGGGCTCTCTGTCTCTAGGGAGGCCATCAGGGAGCTCCCTTTCTGTGTAAGGCTCTGTTCTGGTTTCTTTTGTGTGAGCACTGCCACCCGTTTCCTGAGTGTTGGGTTAGTCCATGCTGTTGGGTGTCAGTCTCTTTGTCAACTGTGGTTTGTGTTTCTTGTGCGTTTGGGTGTATCTGTGCCTACAGGGATGCCTGTCCTGCCCCAGCACCCTGACCTCCCCCGCCCCTCAGCCAGGCCCCAGCGTGCTGATGGTGGTGTAGCTCAGCCTGGACAGGGAAGCAATGGACGGGGTAGGAGGGTCCTCCTCTGGGAGAGGCCTGGGACGAGCTCGAGGAGGCCTGGGGCAGCAGCGCGCGCAAGTGTCCAGGCAGGCCTGGCGAAAGCGGCGGTGCATGAAGCAGTAGACCAGCGGGTTGACGCAGGCGGAGGCGTAGCTCAGCAAGTGGATGAAGGAGATGGGCGCCCCCGAGAGGGCCCGGTGCGCACCCGGGCCGTCGAAGGCACGCCACGTGTTGGCGCTGTACACCGGCAACCAACACAGGAAGAAAAGCACAACGATCACCAGCAGCATCCGCACCACGCGCTTCTTAGCCAGAAGCTTGGCCTGGGTGGGCCGGGGGCCGGGTCCTGGTGCAGGAGTGGACGCCGTCAGGGCCGACAGCTCCAGGGCCGGCCGGGACCGCGGAAGCTGCACGTAGCAGCCGTCGCTGTCCTCGCCTGACAGGCCGGATTCAGGCCGGCAACGCCCATTCTGGTGGACAGGACCTGGGCGAAGAGAGGGTGGGCGTCAGACCGGAAGGAAGAGTTCTCCTAACATCAGCCGAACCCCCCAGGAATCCCCTTGAGTCCCCCCTTTCCAGCCTCCTCCACTGGCCTCCAGCCCCACCTTCTCTAGGCTCCGCCCCTTCGCCAAACCCCGCCCCTCTTTGGTTTGCTGACCTGGTGCAGAGCCGGACAGACCTCCCTGGCCTCGGACCCTGCTCTGGCTCTCACTGTCCGTGTCACCATCAAAGCGAAGCCCTAAGTAGAGCTCGCGGGAGATGAGGCCGTAGGCCACCGCCATAACCACTCCGGGGACGAAGAACAGGAGCAGGAGCAGCAGGACCGACCTGGGGAGGGAACAGTCACACCGGGTCTGTCCCAGAGGAGGAAGAGCGAGGGCTGGTGTTTCTAGGGCTGTGGCCGGGTAGCTGAGGCAGGAGTAAGATTTAGAAATGCCGCCCGGAAGGGCCCGAGAACTAGAGGCCGGCCCCAAACTGGAATTTCCGGCTGGTGGGTGCAGAACGGGCCTTGGGGTGGTAGCTCTCGGAGCAGCTGGAGGACTGCTCTGGGAAAAGTCACAGACGTCTCATGGAAACGGAGAAGGGGATTCCTTTTTTAAAAAAATTGTTTTTACTAGTCACATTTGCAGTACGTAATGATCACATTTATCATGGGGAGTTGGTCCGTGTACATAACACATCTTGATTCTTTTATACTCCGTTTCCCTTCGTTTTCCTCTCCCCTCCCTCCATCAGAAGAGAGAACTGAGGGTGCTGGGCATCTTACCAGGTCTGGCGGACCCGCGCGTTGGGCCAGCGATGCACGCACTGCAGCACACGGGGCCCCACCGGCTGCACAGCGGTGTACACAGGGTAGGGGACCATGAGCAATCCGGACAGCAGCCAGGTGGCTAAGATCACGCGGGCCGCGTGGGAGCGGGTCTGCCACACCCGCGCCTGCAGTGGTCGGCAGATGGCGCTGTACCGCTCCAGGGCGATGGCCACAAGGCTTAGCGTGGACACGCTCACAGACACCCCTAAGCAAGGGGAGAGGAAAGGTCACTTTGGAAACCTGCACCACACACTCACCAGGGTGATTTCCACGGCTTTCCATCAGGAAAGACCCCTACATCTACCAAGGCCTTTAGGAGGGGAGAGGGTCAAGGGGCTGGGGTATCTCACCCACCCATGAGGTAGGAAACCGCTTTGCAGATGACGGTGCCAAAGATGAATGTGCCCATGAGATTGGGCAGGAGTGTGAAGGGCATGCAAGCCACAGCCAGCAGGAGGTCACTGACTGCCAGGGAGAGCAGGAAGGCGTTGGTCACAGTTCTCAGGCGGCGGCTCAGTCCCAGGACCACAATGATGAGCACATTTCCTCCAACGCTCATCAGAAAGATCACTGCATAAAGGGTGACTCTAATGGCCAGCTCCAATTCTGGGCAGAAAAGGGAGAGGTGGCATTAGGGGCTCAGGGCCCCATTACATCAGACCTCTTTGACCCCATTTTTCCCCAGCCCTTGCTACTCAGCCAGATCCCTGTATCCCAAGAATTCTCCCTCCCACTCACCCAGGGCCTAGTCAGTGAGTGGTGAACTTACATCCTTTACCATTCAAACTTGCCCTTCAGGCTTAGTCACATTGGCCTGATTGTTCTCTTCTTCTGAAAGTTTGTCTCTTCTCAGCATTTGGCTTATGTTTGTGTCTTCCCAGTCACTTAATCCATTAGGACCCCAGGTTCTGTGCCCGCTGACTGCTAGGACACTTCTCCCCAAGATCACAGTCTCTGACTGCCAAATCCAAAGTCTCCTGTAGCCTGCTGTACTCGATTTCCCTGTATGACCCGACACTGTCGATCACCCCCATTTTGGACAACATGTCTGTATTCTCTAACACATAAGACAATCCTCCACCCAGTTCTTAGCTACTCTTCACGGTCTGTTACCCCTTGGCATCTCACAAGATCCTCCAGACTGCAGCCCCTCCTCCCAACCCCTCCCTGCACTGCACCCACTGAAGCTCCTGGATGACTCAGTTTCTTGAATGCATCATGAACACTCGTGACTCCCTTGGTGCTCCAGTTAGTTTTTGTGCCTGAAATACCCTTTTGCCAACCCCATACGTCCACCCTCATCCCAAACTTATTTCCATATCCGGTGAATTTCTATTATCCCTCATTTGCCAAGACTCAGAGGGACCACCACCTCTTCTGTAGGGCCTTCTGGGTGCTTCTTCTGTATTCACCTCCTCTCCCTCTGACATATGCATGCTCCTTACATTTCTACTAGAGCCATTTTTACTTTCTCCTTTTTGTTTTCATTATCCAAACATTTATTCTCACTCAATAAACATTTACAGAAGACTCCCTCTATGCCAGGCAGGGGACACAGGGGTAAATATGACAAACTCTCTGCTACCTGAGAGCTCATAGTGGAGAAGGAAACTCAGACACATAAACAGACAGCTGCCTTTCACTTGTGATAAGGAATGAGGTGGATGGAGGCACAGAGACCTGTGGGAGCTCACAGGAAGGACACTCAGTGTTGTCCAGTGACTCAGAGGGGCAGGGAGGCTGACCCTACTCATTGGTGTCATTGTCTAATGGGAAGCAGACTCATACTTGGGCCACTGCATTGCAGCCCTGCTGACCTCTACAAAATTGAACTTAATTGGGCTGAATCACTCATATCCATGGCCTCAGCATGAGGGGGACTGAAGTTTGAAGAGAAGATGGCAAGGGGCAGATCCAAGTTGTGGGTTGAGAAGGGTGCAAAGATGCAGCCCTGGCTTTTGCAGCCGCATACACTGACTGACTCTTGTCTTAGCCCCCAAAGTGAACTGTGTTCCCGTAAAAATAAGCAGCTTATTTAGAAGTTGTTGTGGGCATCAAATAAGTGTTATTTACAAGAACTCCCCAGCTGAACTAAGCAGTAGCTTTCCTTGCTCACAACTATACAGCTAGTATGGGAATGAATCCGAATAGAAGCCAAGTCTCTGGGTCCCTAAAATGCTTTGTCTACTGGGGCTCCCTCGATGCTCTGTCATTCATGATGCTGCCTGTTTCTTCTCCCAGTCAAATCTCAACCTCTTTCTCCCTCTCTCCTGCATTCTGTCATTCCATTTCTCACTCCATGATTATGTTTGCTATTTCTTTCTTTCCCACTGGATGAGTCTCTGCAGGACAGGGGCATGGATAGCCAGCATTTAGCACAATACCTAGCACACAGGAGGCAAGTCAAGGCACGGTTTTTAATGCATTTCATATGAATCTGTCTTTCAACACAGAAATGCACTGCTCTTCTCTTCATTCGTCTCTCACTTTTATTAAGTGCTTCTGTGCGCCCTTTCCTCTTTATTCTTGTTGCTTTGGGAGCGCACATTTCTCACTCATTCATCCCGCTGATGTCCCTGAACTTTGATAATTGTGGAAGACTGGAAGGATGAAGCTGGGATTTACTTGTATGAAGTCTCCTATCTGCTTGGGGACTCCTGAAAACTCAAGCCAAAGTCTTAGTAAAAATTGCCGTCAGTTGTACAGCACATTGTGGTACATAGCTATTACCTTATTCCCAGCCACTGCTAACTCTCCAGTCCTTACTGATGAACCATTAAGAGATGTGCAAAAGTCCTAACTACAAGCAATCTTTGCTAGGTGTGGTGGCGCGCACCTGTAATCCCATCACTCAAGAAGCTGAGGCAGGAGGAGCGTTGTGAATTTGAGGGTAGCCTGGGCTACACAGTGAGCTCAAGGCCAACCTAAACTACATGGTGAGACTTTCTTTCACTCCCCTGCCCTCCTAAAATGTAGTGTTAGAGTTAGGGATTTGGGGAGCACGCGAGAGAGGAATGAATAGGTAGAACACAAGGATTTCTTTTTTATTTGTTTTTAGGGTTGTGAAACTATTCTGAAAGTTACCAAAGTGGCAGATATTTGCCATGGAACATTTGTCCAAACCCATAGAATTGTACAACATAAAAGAATACGTTAGTGTAAACTACAGACCTTAGTTAATATGTACCCATACTACATCATCCATTGTAACAAATGCAAAATATTGGTGTAGGATGTTAGTAATAGGGTAAACTCTTTGATCTGTTTCTGTCTCTGTGTGTGTATGTATGTGTCGGGGTACACAGGAACTCTCTGTGTCCCAGTTTTTCTGTGAGTCCAAAACTGCTCTAAAATAGTCTGTTCATTAAAAAGTCACAAATATAAAATGAATAAAAATTAAGATGCCCGTGTGTGTGTACATCCACGTGTGTGGAACTCCGCCATGTGTGGTGGAGTATGAGTGATCACAGTGGCTCCACTGACCAGACACCTAAGTCAGGATGAAAGGATAGGTTGATACTGCTTGGGAAACAGGTACCAGTGCTTTGACAGTCTGATATCAGGTAATAGCTTTTTGGGGATGAGAGGACAGCAAAAATCAGACCTTGGGACTCAGAAGCCTGGCACTGTTCAATTCTTCTCCTGGAGTCTGGAAAATCTGCATTCATTCTATCTAGGTAATGGTAGAGAAGTATGGACTCAAAAATCCAGACAATGTGACATAAAACAAAACCTAGGCTTTTCTAAGAAATGACTCCTTAGAACACTGCTAAGACCTCCAGTCCTGCCTTCCATTGGTAAGTTGGATCTGGTCACCCATGAACATGGACATCAGTGTAATACTCCTGCCTCTATGGTAAGTATAGATGGCGTCTGACTGACTGAATGGGAAACAAGGGTCAAGTGGGTACTAATGAAGGGAGCAGAGGCACTATGCAAGGGTAGGTGATAGCAGCCTGAGCAATCGCTAATACCTCATTCTTTGAGACAGTGTGGACAGCTGCAAGCAACCCTTATTTTTCTGGGAGAAAGGTAACTTCTACAGATGGATAAGTAATATCAGATTGTGAGTTATATTTAAGTTTAGGTATATCTGAGTAACTATTACAACATTTGAATAAGAGAGAGTACTATCCAAGTCTCCAGATAACATCTCATTTTGTAGGTAGCTTCTTCAGGAAGTAAGTGTTATATTCAGAGGTCTGTGTATGAATCAGAGACTATCCAAGCAATGATAGTAATAGCTGAAAGAGCAGAAGCAATATTCAAATATGTGTGGGCAGTATTTAAGTGAATATGAATGTGAGGAGTCAGGTTAACATGTTAAATTAAGCTCAGTTTCAGATGTTAATCTGATTGAGTGAAATAACTTTGCATAAATAATGTTAAAGTCTTTGCTGATAATATCTGAATGTGTGAAAGTAATATCCATGATTTTGTGGGTAATATCTGAAGAAAGGTTAGGTATGCAAGCATGGGCAATAGCAATTGTGTGCAGATAAAATTAAAGTGAGTATCATTTGACGAATGGGCAGCATATTAAAGAGTGTGGTTAACATCTATCTGTGGGTAGCATTTGAGTCAACATGGGTGATATTCAAGTTTGCAGGTTTATGTAAGAATAAAGTTGTAGCATTCAAAGTTCTATTGGTAACACTGGAGCAAGGCTAGGTAATGTATACATCTACAGGGATAATATCTGAGCTCGTGTGGCTTTCAGGGTAACACCTGACTGCCTGGATAGCATCCAATGTGTATGAGCAGCAATATCCAGATAAGTGAGGCCTATTCTTGTACCTGTTATCAAAGCCATTTTGCATATTGCTTTTTCAGGAACCCCCGCTCTACTGACTATGCTCTTTCTTATCAGAGCATAGACAGGTCCATCTTCACCTGTCTTGGCCCTTTCCTATCAAAAACGTTATAATGATCCAGGCAAGGTGTCCTAACACTGCAGTTCCAGCTACTTGAGAGGCAGAAGTGGGAGGATTACTTGAGCCCAACAGTTAAGAGACCAGCTTGGGTAGCATAGTGAGACCACACCTCAAAGAAAAATTTTAAATCTTCTTCTCTCTACTGCTACTATTATTCCAACACACACACACACACACACACACACACACACACACACACACACAAACACACACAGAGGCACAGGTCCTCGTACCCTTCCTTAATCCCACAGCATTTTTGTCTACCTCTTTCTCTCTCTTTTTCTCCCCCAATCAATCTTCAATGTAGGGTAGTCAGACTTCAGTATCTATCTAAAAGTTCTTTTAAAGACTTCTGTATTATTGACTCAAAAGGGCACTATTCTGGCTGATTTGTTCTTTTCTGACTTGCATCAGTGAGACTTTGACATTACTTACCCTACCCTGCTTAAATTCTCATTTTCCTTGCCTTCTAGAAGGACCTAGCTCCTGTCTCTCTAATAGTTTTGTCTAAATCTCCTTCGTGAACTTTCTTTCCTCTCCATGGATTTTAAATATTAGTCTGCTGCAGGGTCCTGCAGGACCTCTTTTCTTCTCATTTTATACAATCTTGATATGATTTTATCTATTTTCCTAGCTTCTGTTACCTCCTTTAGGCAATAAATTTTCAAGTCTGTATTTCCAGCTTAGGCTTGTAAGACAAATTCTAGACATCTGGATTCATCAGCTTCCTGGGTACCCAGCATTTAAACTCAGATGCAAACCAAGGTAGCATGATGCTACTGTTTCCAAACCTATTTCTGCTCCTTTGACATGTGTGACATCACACAGCAGCATCCATTCAGTTGTCCAAGCCAGAAACCTGCTATCACCCATTGACCTTTTCTACCCTCTCCACTCTTAAGCGATTTCCAAGCTTTGCTGATTTCATTTGCAGAAGTGACTCTCAAATCCATCTACCTGTCTCCATCCTCACTGCCAGTAACAGTCAGGAGTTCTCTTTCACCCAGATCTGTGCACTCTAATAGCTTTTTCAAGCACCCCTCACCCAGTGTTCCACCTCATCCTCCAATCTACTCTCTACGTGACACAAGGAATCCTGGCAGTAGTACTGAATCTTTCACTGGTTCTCATTGTCACCAGATAAAGTAGCCGGGTCAGTGAGGCTCTCTGTGTGTGCTGTAACCTGGTTTCTAGCCTGTTCCCTTTTTACCAGTAATGGGATTTGTCCCAACCCCTCAGCAACTATGTCACATTGAATAGAAGTGCCATGGACTTAACTTTGGGCTTTTCACACATCCCATTACTGTGCTTTGGATACTTTTCGCTTCTTTTGCCCCTTCAGTAGGCTGGCTCTCCCTCACCTTTTGAATTTCAATTTACAACCCACCTTCTCAGGAAGCCAACCTCCATCTCAAGACTGGGCTGGGGATGCTGCTCTCCTGCTGCACTACCTTCCCCTTTCAAGACACTCCCACTTCGCGTTGCCATTCCCTGCTTGCTTGTCTGGTTTTCCCTCTAAATTTTGAACTCCATGAAGTAGGAACAGTCAGTTTTGTTCAACTCATATTCCTGCTGCCTAGCACAGTCCCTGGTTCAGTAAATATTTGCTGAATGAAAGAATCTAGGTGGCGGTATATAATAATGGGGCTGAGAACTTTTCCTTTTCTGAACTTAGAGTCATTTCTTTCTGCTCACCACTGCTTCTTCTCCTAGGAACCCACTCCTTCTTTTCTGCCTACTGAATTCTAACTCCAACACGAGGCTCCCAAGTTCCTCCTCTGTGAAGTTTTCAGACCTGTCTTTTTGGGTGCTAGTAGTTCAGACCCTCTTGTGGGGCTTCCACGCTGGTTGTGATTGTTTTCCATGGTCTTTTCTCCCCTCTGCACCTGACTGTGCATGGATGGGTGTACAGACGGGGTCAAGTTCAGCCCTGTGTGATCAGCACTTAGCCTGGGGACTGCCATGGCAGGTGTCCAGTAAACACGGATGGGAAGGGAGGAAGCAGAGCAGGGAGAAAATGTATTCTGAGATATTCATCAAGGCAGTGAGGATGTTAGTGCACGGGAGCAGTGAGTCATTTTGAGGAGCTGTCTGGAGAGGTGTGAATGAGGAGAGAAGCTAGTACCACGAAGGCATGGGGGGACGAAGGGGGCAGCCAGCTCGGGAACAGGAGCTCTAGCAGACCCAGGGAAAGGCAGGCTGAAGGTGGGGCTTGGAAGGGACTGGGAGAATTCTGAGAAAGAGAGGTGACGCGGAGGAAGCCTTGGGACACCTCCAGCTTGAGAGGTAGAGGGGCTGGAAGCTGAGTGAAATGGGGACAGGTAGCTCCAGGGATCGTCCCTCAGTGTCCAGCCTAATTCTGATTTGAGAGTCTTTTTGTGGGAAAGCAGGAGTTGGAGAAGAGACAGAGGAGATGACAACCCTGTGTCTTCCCGTTCAGGACTTCCAGAGCGCTCCCTCCTCGCCAGCCTGCTTCTTCCTCCCCTCTGTCCGCCCTTCCTCCCCTAAGCTCCTCTGGCTCGGTGACTTGGATAGAGGGGAACAGAAAAAGAGATCTGGAAGGGGTGTCAGGGGAGGTCCTTGCCTCACAACTGTGTGTGCTGGGTGGTGCTGCATTGTGGGGTGCCCAGAAGCTCTGGGTGTGTGTGGGGTGTGGGGTGTGAGGGTCTCTCACCGGGTGGTGTGAAAGTATTGTAGTTGTAGAGCTGCGGGGGCCGAATGCGGGGCGTGGGCCGACTACTATGACGGAGAGGCCGTGGGCGCTTTGGCAGGCAGTGCAGCGGTCATGCTGGAGGCTCTATTAAGGTTAGGGGCTGCAGTGAGAAGGAGGCTGTGGAGTTGGCTTAGGGAGGCACCCACCTCTTGTCCCGGCGCCACGGATGCGAGGGGTCTCGCAGCTGAGGTTCCCTGCACTGCTGCTGTTGAGGACGGGGCCAACCGGGCGGCACAGGGAAGCCCCCAGCCCGGGCCCGGGTCCCTGCAGGCTCCGGTTCAGCTTCAGCAGCTCCATGGCCCCACCGAGCCCGCCTTCCCTCTCGGCGCCTCCGGGCGGGCTCCCGGCGCCT